AAGCTCGGCTCCCCCGAAATTCGCTCTGGCAAGTCTGAAGAATGAGCAGGAGCATTGTCTAATACCAGGAGGCATTTAAGGCCCAGTTTATTTTCCAGGAGGTAATTTTTCAGTGGGGCCAAACACATGATAAAACCAGTCATAGAAAATGTCCCTAGTGACCCATGCCTTACTGCTTGCTCTCCACATCACACGAATTAGCCTTGACAACATTGTTTTTCCTGAACACACGGGGAGTTTCAGAGTGATACACGAGTAGAGGCTTCACTTTGCAATCCCCACTAGCATTAGTACACAACATTAAGGTTAGCCTGTCTTTCATAGGCTTGTGTCCTGGCAGTGCTTTTTTTCCCTGTGTAATGTAGGTCCTGTTTGGCATTTTCTAAAACAGGCCTGTTTCGTCACAATTAAACACTTGTTGGGGTTGCAATTCTTCAGCCTCTATGTACCCCTGGAATTCCTGCACATATTTTTCAGCCACTTTTTTGTCCGAACTGTCAACCTCACTATGCCTTATCACACTGTGTATGCCACTACGATTCTTAAGTCTCTCAAACCAACCTTTGCTGGCTTTAAATTCACTCACATCACCACTAGTTGCATGCATTTTTTTTAATTAAATCATCATGCAGCTGCCATGTCTTTCACATATGATGGATTCAGAGATACTATCTCCTGATATCTGTTTTTTGTTTGTTTATCCACAACAACAACAGTCTCTCAACATCTTCGAGTACTTGTGATCTGTGTTTCAAAAACATTCTTGCACCTTTCGCAACAACAGCTTCCTTGATTGCCTTTCTGTTGGCCAAGATAGTAGTGGTGGTTGATTGGGGTTTGTTATACAACCTGGTCAGTTCGGAGACACACACTCCACTCATACTTATTAATTATCTCTTTCTTCATTTCAATTGTAATTCTCACCCTTTTTACCACAGGGTTGGCACTAGAAGTTTTCTTTGGGTCCATGGTGGCTTATTTAGCAGTTACAAGCACTAAAAACACTGGAATAATACAAAATGTATGCGTGGAAGTGACCTCACTGGTTTGTAAATACTGACACACTAACTGAAGGCAGGGCAGCTAAGGCGCACTCAGGCCAGACGGGACACGTGGACGTGTTCGGGACGAATGATGTTGGTCGAGTTTTTCATCATTGGTCGGGCCAAAATTTTTACGCTCAAACACTTCGTTAGTCGAATTTATCGTTAAACGATGCCTTCCTTGGTCGGGGGTCCGCTGTATCTTGCCCTACTCAGGATTGAAACTCAGGACTCTTTGATTGTGACCCAACTCCTATAGAAATTTATGAAACTGTGAAAAGATAGATTTTCCAGGAAACAATGTATTGTACCATAGCCTGTTTGTCAGTTTAATGCATACAGTGGACCCTCCCTATTCATTGGGTTCTGTTTTCGCAAATTTCAGTTATGGCTGACTTTTTTCATAAAAATATTGGCTTAGTTTTCGTTACTTTCCTCCGTTCTGATCAGTGGTACAGTACCTTTCCGAGTGTGCCTGCACGCACACAACTTCCCACACACACATTCTGAGGCAGTGTCACTTTGTTTCTTGGTGAGTGAACATTATCCTGCAAGGTCTTAGGAAACATTTCATAATAATTCATTGTTTTTTGCACATGTTTATTCTGTGTGACTGCTAAGTAAGCCACCATGGGGCCAAAGAAAGCTGCTAGTGCCAGACCTTTGGTAAAGAAGGTGAGAAACACAGTAGAATTAAAGAAAAAGACTGTAGAAAAATACAAAAGTGGTGGTGGTAGAGGGTGGTAGTGATGGTGGTAGTGGTTGTGATGGTGGTAGAGGGTGGTAGTGGTTGTGATGGTGGTAGAGGGTGGTAGTGGTTGTGATGGTGGTAGAGGGTGGTAGTGGTTGTGTTGGTGGTAGAGGGTGGTAGTGATGGTGGTAGTGGTTGTGATGATAGAAGGTGGTAGTGGTTGTGATGGCAGTAGTGGGTGGTAGTGATGGTCATAGGGTAGTAGTGGTTTTGATGGTGGTAGAGGGTTGTAGTGATGGTGGTAGAGGGTGGTAGTGATTGTAGTAAAGGGTAGAGCTACAAGAGCTCTCTGGAGAGTGTTTTGTGCAACAGGGGTCCAGTGACTCTCAAGCTGGCCCTAGTACCATTAAAAATCAAAGAAGGGAAGTAACCCAGAATAAGGACTTGGTACCTGAAGTCTTTATGGAAGGGGATTCCCCTTCCAAACAATAATCAGTCCTCCCTCTTCCCCTCCTTGTTTTCCATACACCAATAAGTGTCTTCAGTAAAGGGAAGTGTGATGTTAAATGTTCATTTATATATGTTATTAGTGCTTTATAATATATTTGTCGTTGTTTTCTGTATGTAAATCTATATTTAACCCTTTGAGGGTTTTCGTCGTACTAGTACGTCTTACGCGTAGGGGTTTTTGACATACTAGTACGCATAAATTCTAGCGGCCTCAAATCTAGTGGGAGAAAGCTGTTAGGCCTTCATATGAAAGAATGGGTCTATGTGGTCAGTGTGCACAGTCTAAAAAAAATCCTGCAGCACACAGTGCATAATGAGAAAAAAAAAACTTTGACCATTTTTTTGGAATAAATCAGCGACTTTGCAGTGTATTTTCGTATGGTATTTATTGTTGTATTCTAGTTTTCTTGGTCTCATTTTATAGAATGGAAGACGTATTACAGAAATTGAGATGATTTTGGCTGGTTTTACAATGAAAGGTGCCTTGAAATTGAGCTCAAAGTAGCAGAAATGTTCGATTTTTACCAAACTTCAAAAGTAAACAAATCGTGCCAAGCGTGCAATACACGTCAACTGGTGAGTCTAATATTCTTTCACAAGTGCACCAATAATATTTATACCATTTTTTACACTAATGCAGTAGTCAGCATAACAGTAAATCTTATATTTTTGAGAATAAAAATTCAAAATGGAAAGCAAAAGAATATAAGAGGGACCTTGAGACGTGACTAATGACTAGAGGAAATGTCATTTTAGTGCCAGGAATGTCTTTCTTGTTTATTCTGGACCCTATTCGGAAATTGGCATCTTTTGAAATTTGTGTGAAATTGGCAAAATTGCTAAATTCTGACCACTGTACTGGATAGTTGAATTTCATAAATGGGTGGTTTCTTGCACCCATTCGATAGAAAAAATGGAGTTCTAGCGAAATATTCATGTTTTTTGTCGACTAGTACAGCGAAATTGGCCGAAAATGGGGCTCAAAGTGGGCAAAATCGCTGATGCGTAAACATCGCCGAGACCGCTAACTTTGCGAGAGCATAATTCCGTAAGTTTTCTATCAAATTTCAAACTTTTGGTGTCTTTATGATCGGGAAAAGATTCTCTATCTTTTCATAAGAGAAAATAATTTTTTTTTTTTAAATTTGGCCGACCCTGAGAACGAGTTTCGGAGAGGGCCTGTCGACCCTCAAAGGGTTAATCTCTAAAAAAATTTTTTTTTTTATTATTATTATCACACTGGCCGATTCCCACCAAGGCAGGGTGGCCCGAAAAAGAAAAACTTTCACCATCATTCACTCCATCACTGTCTTGCCAGAAGGGTGCTTTACACTACAGTTTTTAAACTGCAACATTAACACCCCTCCTTCAGAGTGCAGGCACTGTACTTCCCATCTCCAGGACTCAAGTCCGGCCTGCCGGTTTCCCTGAACCCCTTCATAAATGTTACTTTGCTCACACTCCAACAGCACTTCAAGTATTAAAAACCATTTGTCTCCATTCACTCCTATAAAAACATGCTCACGCATGCCTGCTGGAAGTCCAAGCCCCTCGCACACAAAACCTCCTTTACCCCCTCTCTCCAACCTTTCCTAGGCCGACCCCTACCCGCCTTCCTTCCACTACAGACTGATACACTCTTGAAGTCATTCTGTTTCGCTCCATTCTCTCTACATGTCCGAACCACCTCAACAACCCTTCCTCAGCCCTCTGGACAACAGTTTTGGTAATCCCGCACCTCCTCCTAACTTCCAAAAACTACGAATTTTCTGCATTATGTTCACACCACACATTGCTCTCAGACATGACATCTCCACTGCCTCCAGCCTTCTCCTCGCTGCAACATTCATCACCCATGCTTCACACCCATATAAGAGCGTTGGTAAAACTATACTCTCATACATTCCCCTCTTTGCCTCCAAGGACAAAGTTCTTTGTCTCCACAGACTCCTAAGTGCACCACTCACTCTTTTCCCCTCATCAATTCTATGATTCACCTCATCTTTCATAGACCCATCTGCTGACACGTCCACTCCCAAATATCTGAATACATTCACCACCTCCATACTCTCTCCCTCCAATCTGATATTCAATCTTTCATCACCTAATCTTTTTGTTATCCTCATAACCTTACTCTTTCCTGTATTCACCTTTAATTTTCTTCTTTTGCACACCCTACCAAATTCATCCACCAATCTCTGCAACTTCTCTTCAGAATCTCCCAAGAGCACAGTGTCAACAGCAAAGAGCAGCTGTGACAACTCTAAAAAATTATTTTTTGTTAATATTTTTGGGAGTCTGGAACAGGTTACTTGGATTTACATTTCGGACCCTTGAATTTCATCATCCCTTTTCTGTATGTAAAACTATAGTTATGCTCTATAAAATGTATATTTTGTTAATATTTCCCATAAATAATGTAAATCCAATTAATCCATTCCAGACACCCAAAAATATGTATTAACAAAAAATGTACTTTATAGAGAATAACTACAGTTTTACATACAGAAAAGGGATGATGAAATTCGAGGGTCCACTGACGAAAACTGAAACCATTTTCCCCATAAGAAATATTTCTTATGGAGAAAATGGTTTCAGTTTTCATCCATTTCACATTTCGTCAGACTCTGGAACAGATTAATGACGAAAAGGGAGGGTCCTCTGTAGTTTCAAATTGTGTAATGTAAAGATATTTGTATAGTTAATGGAGCTTGGTTACTATAGTTTCACTTGTTAATTATTTTATCATATTTCAGATGCAGTAAATTTGAATCAGAAATCTTCCGTCTTCGCATCCTGAAGCCTGTGAGAGTGTGCCAGAAATGCTACACAACATTGAGACATGACAAATGAATCCATAAAACTTTGAGTTAAATTTTAATTTAGACAGTATTTGCAGTGTAATAGCCTTTCATTGCAAATTGTTTTTTTACTGATGTAATTCAACTGGTTTTTCTTAGTACTATGGAGGCTACCTATAATTAAAGCCATTGATTTCTTTTACCAACTTGATCATTGGTTATTAGAAGTAAATTTGTTAATATAGGTTGGCAAATAGTTCTTTGAATTACAGTTGAATGAAATAATATTTATGATTTTATAAATATTTGTTAACTACTGTGTTTCGTAATGACCTGTCTGCAGGATTCATCTTTACAATTGCATTTCAGTCCTGTGTTCATTTAAAATATGGAGAAAACAAATGAGATGTGTTAATTATTAATAAAACTCAGGGGCTTCATCTTGAATGTGAACACAAGTCTGGGATTGTTGTGACTGGAGAATATCACAATGTCTCATCACAGTTGTGTTAGGCAGAAGGTGGAGGCAGCTTTAAACATTTCTTGCATTCTAGGAATGATTTTTAAAAGAAGTTTTCCCAGAAGATAAATTTGTGAATAGTTACATACACATAGACACACACGCATGCATGCATCCATGTATAAATATACACATAATAATTCTGCAGTGGTTCTGTGGAAAAATATCTGTACTGTATAGTGACATATCTCATACAAAAGAATGAAAGTACTGATGAGCATTAACCTCATCATCATCAGAAGAAGAAAATGTGTGTATCATTAATATTACCATTGTCAAGTTGAATATCAAGCAAGGTTTTATGACACCAAAGTGAGTCTTATCACACTGGAATTGGCTTAGATATGCTAATACAGTAATGGTGATCATATTTTTATTTTACTCACTTTATTAATAATTCTTAATACATTACTGAATAGTAAGTATAACTCATTAATCTTGTAAATAGATACCAGTTATTTTATCCTACACATTTTAATAATTTTTGCTGGAGAAATAATAAACGAGAGATTTATAAATCAATTAATAAAATACACACACTGTACTTATATATATATATATATATATATATATATATTATATATATATGTATATATATATATATTATATATATATATATATATATATATATATATATATATATATATATATATATATATATATATATATATATATATATATATATATATATATATATATATGTATATATATATATATATATATATTATATATATATATATATATATATATATATATATATATATATATATATTATATATATATATATATATTTTATATATATATATATATATATAATAGTATACAGTATTTGATATTCAAATGATAGCAGTGGTTCTAGAGGTTAGGCAGTAACTTTGACATTGTTAGGAATGTGAGTACTTTGGTGTTGGTCTTACTTGTTCTGTTGTATATGATTGTTATGGAAGTAATTTAGTATAGGATTTATTTGTTGTGTCTCAGAATGATAACCTGCAATTGAGTTCTGATCTTTATTCCTTCAGATTTTTTTTTGTTTTTAGATCTGCTTTTACTGTTGACAAAAATGTTCAACTTCAACCCATGTGTTGTTGATTAAGTATTGTTAAAGTGAAGAAATATGTTGTTATTTGAGGTCACAGAGGAATACTCGGACTTTCTTGTAGACACGAAGGTTAATGTTACAGAGCAGTTTCTGTAGAAATAGTGATAATGTATATTCTCAAAGAAGTAGTTGTCACACATTTATGTGTTCAGCAATACCTGGGCTTATTTCGCACAGAAAATTGTGTTTGGCCACATCAAGACAATACTTTGAGGAACAATGGCTCTACATGATTTCCAAGGAGTGAGCAAGCTCGCTGACCACACATTTTATGTTAGTTTGGAAGAGGAAAGTATATAGTTGATGTATTGTGTACATAGTGAACAGTGTTCATAGTGTCACCTATCATGGCCTATTGCTCCGTGATGCCTCTGGTTTCTGTGTCTTGCTCTTAAAGCAGGTTGGAAATGTCACTTGTTAGGTTTCCATTTGATGGTTGGAGGCCACAGGGATTTTACATATTAGTAAGTTTTAAAAAGTGAGTGCAGATTGCCTGGATTGTCATCACTAAAATTTCTATTTTAGCTTTTCACTTGCAGTAGAATACCAAATATCCTCACACTGATGTCCAGCATCCTGTCCTTTAATATAGTAGCAGTTTTCATTGAAATATGCTCGGATTCTTATGGCAAGTATCTCTTAGTTTCTTGTCAGACTATTTTGTAGTAAAATGTATAATATATTTATATATTTTAAAAGTTGTAATCTTTGGCTATCCGTGTATGTTGAAATGATAGTCGCCTGTTATGTTGCATCAGCCAAAGACTTATATAATCTCTGGGCATGTATCATGGTGACCATAAATTCACAGTAGTGGTGCATGGAGCAACTTT